CCAAAACAAACCTTATACTAGTGAAAGTTGGTATAAATTAACTACTCGATTATCTTTGTTTATTAGTTTGACTAATTTTCTTTAGTTGTCAAATGAATGACCAATATAATGTCGACAATTGTCAATTTAGGAGTGAAAACATAATTTTTCTTGTCAATTTCTTTTTTCTAACTTGGTTACTAGTTAAAATCATTTAAAATGTTAAAAAAAAGATAAAAAAAATTTACAACTAATTGTGGTTTAGCTTTGCTCAAACTTTGTAGTATATATTTATAATTGTACATAATTAAATTTCTTGAGCAAACCTAAATCCCCAAATTGATTAACCCTAAATTTTTTCTTCTCTTGTTGCAATTGAGCAAACAAATCTTGACTAATTTGTTTGTTGATACAATTCATCACTTATGTTGGGTCATTCCTCTTCTCATTCATCTTACTCATCTTTCTCATCTTTCTCATCTTTTTCTTCTTCCTTGACAACATCAAACCGATGAAGATATAAGAAATTATGCTCTTTTATTCATCAAAAACCCATGTGGAATTATGGATGTCCAGAAATAAGGTCCTATTATGGTTTGAAGTTACCAAGATGGACATCATGGATGGATGAAATTGTGATTTCATGTTTATCCAAAAGAAAAAAATCAATCTAGTTTTTATGAGTTTATTGATCCTAAAATTATAAAAACAGAAAGAGGTAGAGAATTCATTAATGGGTTCATAATATGTGAAAGAGAATCGCATGTTACCAATCGGAGATTGAGAGATAAGTTGAAGAAAGAAGAAGAAGAGTATGAGTTATTGTTTACTGAACATAATTTTATAAAATTGTGCTATGAGAAAGAAAAAGAAGAGCTAGTTAATAAAATTGAAGAGTAAGAGTTAGAAATTTCAGACTTTGAAGGTTTCTAGAAGTCGAAATTACTAAACATATGAATAAATTTATGTATATTGTTTCGATATGGTTTTTTTTTTTTCATGAAGTGAAGGATTGATGTCATGGTTCTGAATTATAGTTAAGGGTTGATGTGATGCTTCTAAATTATAATTAAAATTATTATGTTATTTTGTTGAATTTGAAATTACAGTGAAGTTCCCGCTTATTGATATGGTTCCAATAAATTTAACAAAATGTTGAAATAAATAGATTAATTTCACAAAAACAATGGATCGGACTTCATAGATCTTTCTTCATAAAGAAAGTTTCAAGTACAAAAGATGTCCAACTTCCAATAAAGGTAATTCATAGTATCTAACCTAATGTAAACAAAATAAACAAATAAATAAATACAACATAAATGGTGTTTAATTAGCATTTCACCTTATTACTCTTTTAGATACTTCGATTGAGCTATTGCATTTCTCCGTTTAACTCTTATAGGTAATTTGGTAGTTACAACGAGTAGCATTATGTACCTTTTCTTGTTTCCGGTAATTGGTGTAACTTCTCCACTAACAATGTGAGAAAGTGTTGATTGACCCATATCTCCAATAGTAGTATCAATAACATAATGTCACCGCCCACATTTCTAACAACAACTACATGGACAACATCATCATGTCCATTACCATGTCCGCCCACATCTCCAATAGTAGTATCAACAACATCATCATATCCATTACCCCTTCGACCCACATCTCTAGCAACAGTATCAACAACATCATGTCCACTACTTACATTGGCAGTAACACCACTATAGAGAGCATCATCATGTCCACTACCTATATCTCCACCACCAACTACATTCTCGACATCATCAACCATATTAATATCATAATCGACGAGAACATCTCCAACTAAGCTACCATCACTATTTTTATTATTCTACATGAATAAGATATAAACAAACTCAATACAATATAGATATAATTGAAGCAATAATAATTTATCAAATATGTTTACGTTTTGAATACATGATATATTATTGTGTCTTTTTATATGGAATTATATGGAATTTTGTGCATCTCATAACTCTTTATTTCTTGGATAACCGTGTTCTAGAAGAAGGCATTCATTATTCTCTAACCTAAGTGTTTTTTGGTCTCGCCTCTTTGGTTTTAATAATTGATGCAATAATGACCTCTTTCCCAATGATGGCTAAACAATGATGGCATGTGTAGTACATGTACATAGGCATTTTCATAATTTTCACCTTCAAGGGTGATTTGGACTTTTCATAATCACCTCAAATTTTTAATGGATAGCCATTTCTCCTCTATGGCCGACTAAAATGAGTCAATCTTCATCGAGTTGAAGAAAGTAGAGCGGACCTCAAAGTGTGTTTCGGTAATTTCAAAGTCCACTAACATTTCAGTGAACCGTCATAGTCTTTTGATTGCCAAGTGAGCTACTGGAACTTCAAATTTCAATTTGTGTCTATTCTTTGTTAATATACGAAGTACATTAATATAATATGGTCCCTATAGTTAGTATTACTCTAGTCATAATATCAATGTTATGCCTTTGTAAATAATCTCGTGATAATTATCTCGGGAAACATAGGAAAACATAATTAATAAGGTGTAATAGTTTGAAAATATTTTATAATTAATTATGAGTGTTGAAAAAATTATTATTTAAGTGAATTGTTTTGATTATGACTGATTGAGTCTTACCACGTATGCCAACTTGCTTGCCAATTTTGTCATTTCCTCATTTGTGTTTGAAAATCAAAATAATAGAATTCAAACCACTTTTTTTCAATTTTTCCTTTGGCTAATTTTTCTTTTGCTAAATTTTATCGTGTATGTCTTGCTTATGATTGAAAATCATAAGGCTTGAAACGTATCAATTCAAGTCCTAAAATCTTTTGTTTATGCTTATTTTACCCGATTGTTCATGTTCGCTTGAAGATCATGATGCTCAAAGTCATGTTGATCCGAACCTTAATTAGGACTTTTTTTTGCCATTTTCTCTACTTTTTCTAATTCATAATTTTTAATGTTATTGCTTATTTTTCCTATTTTAAAGCTATGCACCTTCACGGATATCATTAAGTCATGTGTTCCATGCATGCCATTTAAGCCACACATTTTTATGCATGCCACCAAGTTAAACCTAGCCACATATTCTTGCGTATTCATCATGTTCTTTTCATTTCACTTTCATACCTATTCATTTCGGAGTGAGGACGAGGTCCCTAACTCGCTAAATCCCAAATCACTCATCCGGTTGAAAGTTTTTTAGAAAATAGTCAAATTTTCATCATAAAGAATTAGAAATCAATTTAGAATTTGTATGCAATGTAATTTGTCTTAGATAGGATGAGATAGGGTGATTTTTAATCTTCTTTATATGTAACCAAACCTTTTCCTAGAACTCTAAACAGATCAACCATATGGTTTTCTAGTAACTTTAATACTAGGTGGTGACTCCATTTTCAGCCCATTCCCCGTTCCTAAAATTATCATCTATGCCTTGACATCGCTCTATGATACTTAGCATATGGGAATAGCTCATGAATTTATCTAATTCAACCCGAAAAAATGAAAAGCTAAAACAAAGTACTAAACAAACAATCAAAGCGAGTAAACAAACACCATCATTTGTTAAAAAAAAAAGACAATATTAATACTTTGTGACCATTAGAAATGAAGGTATATCCTTGTCTAGTTCCCATGATAATTCCAAAATCAACCATCAACTAAAGGACAAAGCACTTTCAAGTGTCCATACTTTCTCATCTCATAATAGCCCAAGCAATAGAAAATGTTTTTTTATTAGCATCTTAACCAATAGCACTTAAAATCTTCAAGAGGACCTTTTAGGAAACAACCATCAAACCCAATTACTTTTCTACATCTATGCTTAAACCCCCTAATCAGTGCATTAAAGCCAACATATATTCGTTTGAAATATGTATCATCATTTATTTATATTACAACAACACTCGCCTTTATTGGTTTTTATAATTTCTACACATAATCCTCCAATCTTTGAAATTCATCACCAGACTTCACCAAATAACATACTTTTTAACAACCTTAAACTATTCTTGCATTTAGAAAGACTAACTATACGATGTAATTTTAAAGTTTCCTCTACTAATTCAAAAGCATGCATTTTGTGACAGCTCATCCCTTTTTTTTTTTTTTTTTGAAGTGCTTAGCAATTACCTTATAATTGACCAACCTATTATGTAAGGTTTGAATACATGTGTGCTCACCACTATAAATTTTTACAAACTAATTTTAGTATCCAAATAGGGGGAACATAAAACCATCCTCTTTCAATTATCATCTTTACATATAGCCCTACATCTATATGGATCTCCCTTCTCAAATTTTAGGTTTCGATAGTTTGTTATACCATGCTTTATAACCGTATCTCTAAATGTCCTCTTATTTGAAAAAATCATTCCTAACTAAAAGAAGGATTTCTCTTCATTAGGATTGAAATAAATTTTCTTTGATTTCACTCTCTCCTACTAGTTTCTACATCACTCTCATCTTCGATATTAATGTAACTGAAAGTATCATTAGATTTGTAATATGTCTTCTTATCCTTTATATTGACAACATAATCATAATCACCTTCATCATCATCATCATCATCAACTACATCTTTGCCTTTTCTCTTTTGTTTCCTTTTTTTTTTTCATCTTCTATTTATCTTTTCTCTTCATTTTAGCTTTTTTTTCTACATGAATAGTACTGCACTCATCATCATTTTATTATTTTTGTTCACCTTCCTTTTCATCTATTTCTAAATCAGTAGTTAATGCATTCCCTCCTATATCATCGCCTCTATCCCCGACCTTATATAATTCCCTCTTTACCGACCATCATTCCTTGTAAAAACATAGTTTTCTCGCTTCTTTATCTATATGTACTCTTCATCTTTATCATCACTTAAATAATCAAGATTGACCCAATACTTTACCTCCTTAATAACTTTTTCATTTACCTTTATTTTATCATCATCATTGCTTAAATTGTTTGCACCACGTCCACCACTATCCACATTGGGCTCAACATTATCACCACCGGCCATATTGCCCTTAACGAGCACCACCACTACCCATATTGCCCTCATAAACATTGCAACCAACCACATTGCCTTTAGTAGCTACACTAATGCCCATATTGGTCTCGGTAGCACCATCATTGTCCATATTGCCCTCATAAGCACCACCACCGGCCACATTGCCCTTTGTAAGATCGTCATTGCCTATATTGACCTCTCGCATCACCACCATTAGCCATATGGCCCTTAGTAGGATTGCCACTTCCCATATTAATCTCTATATCACCAATACCGGTCATATTACCCTCGATAGGACCATCGTTGCCCACTTTGTCCTTTGCATCACCATCACTAGCCATGTTTCCTCTTATATCACCTAATCCATCACTCTTATTACCCTCACCTAAAACACCCATAACATCACTATCACTAGCATCATATTCTAGAGTCACAACAACCTTAGTCTCAATACTATAATTACTATCTCATAGATCGTATGAACTAACCCTCCGACCCTTATCATTAATACCTAACCTAGCACACACAACACTTGGCCTTTAATTAGATAAAAAATAGGTGGTCCATCTCACTCGTGTTTGATATAAATTTGAACTTGTTTACCCTCAAATAAGTAAATTATAATCTCTATAATACAAGAATCATCCGACCACTAATTGTCCTTACGTCATGGTCTATTGTGGAACCACTTTCTACTACTATATAATATAATTTACCAATATTAGAATACCCTATATCCACGCACGATCCCAATAAGATCCTAAAACATAGTTTGTCTAGGTCAATTACTTTTTCTACTACATCACTTCTAATATGTTCTAAAACATTGGCCTTATTGAACTCCCTTCTAATATAAAAAGTTAAAATGCTTAACACCTTTAAGCAAACCCTACACAAAGAAAAATAATAATATTAGTATGAATGGACCACATGTAATTAAAAAAAGGAAATATATGCTGAAAAAAAGTATGACTAGGTTACCTTAACGATAAATCCCAAATAAAAAGTCAATGTTCTATCCTGTTCCTAGTGGTCAAACTTGTATAAAATCCCTTAGATAATGCTTGATCATAGAGTATAGAACAATTTTTGAGAGATGAGAGAGATGAAGAAATAAAGACTAATAGAAAGTCGAAGAGAAATTTAAACCCTTCAATTTTTTTAGGGAACAACATGCTACAACAAAAAAACCATGTTTCAATAGATGAAGACTAACAACAAGTCGAAGTCAAACAAGTTGTAGAAAGACAATGAAAGAAAGATAAATGAAGAGAGAGTGAAAGACGGTGGAAGACAAAGAGACAAATGAAGAATACAAAGAAGAAAAAGAGAACATAAAAAACACGGTGATGATTAGGAAGATTGGAAGACCAACTTCATAAAGAAGACAAAGAGAGATAAAGGGACGGACAAAGAGCGCTCATTGATGAAGGAGATGAAAAAATTAATTATTTTTAGGATAATTTTTTAGTTTTCATCGATTTATTTTTTGTCTAAGTTCAACTAACTATTAGAGAAAACCATAGTTAGGACTTTTTTTTCAATTTAAAATCATTTTAAAATTATTTTAAATGATTTTAACTACTAATCGAGTTAGGAAAATGAAAATGACAAACAAAATTATGTTTTTACCCTTAAATTAACGAGTGTTGATATTGTATTAGTAATTTATTGGTCAACTAATGGAAGTTAGTCAAAATAATGAAAAAAGATAACGATGAGGTTATTTTACTCTAACTTCTAATAGTATACGGTCCGTTATAGACCATATCTTAGTATAGAGTCTGTGATGATAGTTTTGCTAAAGTATTGGATCATTGGACGTATTAAACTCTTTTTTGCTATTATTATTATTATTATTATTGAGTTGTTATCTTTTAGAAATTTAATTCAATCCATTCTTAGCTCTACTTGAAGATTTATAGAAGATAAGAGTGTTAGTGTGACATGCACCATTAATGTAATTGAGGAAACATTCATTTCTATCTCTATTATTGTTCTCTTCAAGCATTTCCACCACATCATAGTTATGTTCGGAAGTCGTTTAAAATCTAGAATCAATCCAATTTAATAGGGAAAAAGATGATTGCTTTTGGAATTAAGCTAGCCAAGTCTTTTTTCATTTTTCATCTCAAAATGAACTTTCTCTATTCTTCTCATAAATCCTTAAAAAAAAAAAAACTTTTTTCACTAGAGATCTTGAACCATGATTTTTTGATGGTTTTCTATGATATTACACTACCAACCTTAGCATAATGCCATGTATTCTTTATTAAGAGAGAAGATCCACCATATTGTGATATTTATATATGATCCTAGATGAAGATTCCTGATTTGAAATCCTCATTAATAGTGGATCACGACCCTTGAAAGTTTACCACTCTCATACTGGGCATGAATCATTGGTAGGGACTCGGTTTTTGAATCTTCGAACTTCAAATATTTTTGTACATCGACTTTGTACCATTATCCGCAATCTTCTCTCTTTTTTCCTTTTCTTCTCTATTATTTTGTACTCGTCTCTTCCCCGAAATTGTGATCCATATATTCTCAATTACTAAAATGAATACAAAGTTATATATATATATATATATATATATATATATGTGTGTGTGTGTGTGTGTGCACGCTCATTATATTGTTCTTGGTATTTTTCTTACATGAACAAAAGTTTGAGTCCATGATAACTCAACTGGATATAACTTAGAAAAAGAAGCAAATTGTATATAAGAAATTTAAAAACAACAACATATGAGTTTGATTTAACACCTAAAGGTTATTATGGTACATGATCTTATGTTATAGTATCATTTTTTATTATAGCTAGTTTTTGATCTTACCTTTCAAGCTAGAAGTACTTAACAATCATCCTTTTCCGAAATGCCATGAACAACAATCTTTCACTCCAAAGTGGTGGTTTATGCAATCCATACATAAACATGCTCTATCAAAATATATTGAAAAACAATATATATTTTTCAATTTTGATGATTAATCTAATATATAAAGACATTTGAAATTTTGTGTCTCAAAATTTCAGTGATATAGGAACTAAAAAGTTGAACTTAGAACGACTATTTTAGAGAGAAGTTATGATTAGTAACTAAGCTACCTCAACCATTTAGAATCAAACATTTATATAAGAAACAAACATAAAATAAAAATGATTATTGACATAGGATTTTATTTTTACAATAAAATCTATTAAGATTATAGTAACTAAATTTGGAAGTGCTTATAAAAAATAGTTTCAAATATAATATAAAAGATAGATACGCTAATATTTGGTTTAATGGCAAAAAATTATCTTCGTTCTATTACAATTTGACAATTTCAAGTCTTTATTACCAATTTGCATAATTTGAATCCTCAAATATAAATTTTTAGACAAATCTTATCCAAATTCGTTAATTGTAATGGTCAATCCAAGTTTACCGTTAATGTTTTTCTATTGTTAATTTAAAAAAAAAATGTTAAATATTTTCCTCCATTTTCAAGAGAGATTCTTTCTATTTAAATGTCTACGTATTAATCTCTTTGATTTTTTATATTCAATTAAATTGTTATTTATATATAATTTTTTTTTCAATTTGAAAAAATAAATTTTATTTAGTATCATTATCTATTAAAATAATAAACTTCTATTGGTTGAATTTGATCAATTGAAATTATCAAATAATTAATTTTAACTAGAAATTATCAAATTTCTTTTGTCAAGCTAATAAATTTATTCTTGTGATTGTGAATCATTAAATTTTAAATATAGCTTTATTTATTTAATATTTTTTTTTATCTTCACATGTTTTATATGATTTTTTTCCTCATAATTGATTCAAATAATATAATATACATTTAAAATTTTTAGAGTTAGAAAATCATTTTTTTTATAACTTTTCTAATTTTATATTATTTTTATTTTTTTAAAGATAGGTTTAAAAAGTGAAATTTTTTTTTAAGGGAGAACTAAAAAAAAAAAAAAAGAAGAAGTTTTGTGATAAATTTAATGAACTATTTTTTTATTTATAGGTAAATGGGTGGAAAAAAAAATCTCTCTTGACAAATGAAAGAAAAGCTTTTTTAATATTTTTTTAAATTAATAATAAAAAAATAAGATTATAAAAAATTGATGGTCAACAATTAACAAATTTGGATAAGATTTGCTAAAGAATCGATATTTTAGAATTCAAATTATATAAATTGATAATAAAAGCTTTAAATTATTAAATTACAATAGAATAAGGGTAATTGTTTTCATAAAACCACTAATGTTGTTATTGTTCATAGGTAGGATGGGTCAGGGTGCCTCTTCCAACCTTACCCTTAAATTTCTAGAAAGAGATATCCATAAAATTGGTTTATACTAGCTTAGTTTTTTTATTGAGGGTGCGTACTCAATTTTTCCATGTAAAGATTTGTAGTGAAAGCTTTTGATCAATTAATATCTTGGGCAAACATCAAATATACCACCAAACTTTTGGAGCTATTATCAATTTTGCACTCAAACTATTTTTTGTATCAATTTTACTACTAAATTGTTTTAGCTTTCCAATTAGGAATAACTTATAAAAATGTGAAATATCTTACGAAATTACAACATTTGTTAAAAAAGGGTAATTTAAATAAAAATATGGATGAAAATTTTTTAAAATAGATGAAAATTCTTGATTGAGAGTTTTTGAAAATTTGATGGTAAAATTGATGTAAAAAATTATTTTGGTAGTAACATTGAGATTATTTTTCTAACTTGATAGTAGTTTTGAAGTTTGTCCTAAGATCTTTTTATTAGCTTTCATTTCTAAATTGATGACATGTACGTAAATTGGACAACTAGTACTGAGAAATGCATTTTTATTTTTTTACATACCTTATGAATTTAACTATATAATAGGTGTTTGTTGTCGATCGATATATGGACTTTTAAACTAAAAGAGTTAAAAAAAATAAAATAAAAACAGAGTCGTCACTTCATTCATTAAAGAAGACTAAAAATTTTAAAAAGATGATTATTTTTAAGAAAAAATGACAATCAATCAAAAATATTATTTTCAAAGAAAGGTTACCTTGTTTGTTTCTGTTTCTAAATTTATTTCCTATCAGTCATTATTTGCACAATTATTTTATAAGTCTAATTATGAGTTTATTTTTAAGTCAAGTCAATGTAAATTTGGAATTAACCTGAGGAATTAATTCTTCATATTTATTTGTTCGGACTTTGAAATTCGAAACTAGTAGAGTCTATAGAATGGGTTCAAAGGTCTATTTCTATTTATTTTTAGGTAAGGTCTAAGAATTAGGCCTTCGAGTTTTTAGCATCATCTTTTCAATTAAATGTTTTTTTAATGCTTTTTTCCATTTAAAAAAAAAACTATGAAAATCACAACCTAAATGAATTGTCAAATACCTGAAAATGGAAAATAAAATATGTTGGATTACTTATTAAATCTTATTAAATTGTCATCGGACTCTAAAATTAGAAGTCTCGTGAATCCAATATTAGATTCAATTAGTTTTTCATACAAAATTATATGCGAAAAATATGCTAAATAATGATACAAAGCTCAAAATGCCAATTCATGCAAGCATGGTGTGAAATGTTGTAAACATTTTAAAGAAAAAAATGTAATTTTAAGCATGCTAAATTAGCTAAAATTTATTGTAGAACTAATCAATT